TATTTCAGATTTTTTATGATAATGTGAGGGGATATTGCTGCTTTAAAGAAAAACGTAATAAAAATATCTTAGTTATATTTTAAAAAGCAATATAATCCAGCAGTTGTCTAGAAAAATAATCATCATGCTGTTGAATCCAGCATTTCCAAAATTGTTTTGGTGGTATGAGGGCTTTTTCATTGTAGGTAAGACAAGAATAAAAACTATATTTACAAAAAAAAAAGTGTAAATAAGGACTAAAAGATATAATAGATAATGTGAAATAGGAAGAAAATGGCCAAAGGGAAGGGGAAGTGGAAGGGGTAGGGGAAAGGAAAGAAGGGAATGGAATTAATATGAGAAAATGAAAAAAAGGAAACAAAGTCTTTGTAAATAGGGAAGAATGGAGGGGTTGAAGAGAGGGTAGGAGAAGGGGGAAAAATAAGAACCAAGAGAGATTATGTAAAGGTGCAAATTTCCAATGATGTATGTCATTGTATTGTATACCTAAAATGTACCAATAAAATAAAAAAAATAAAAGAACTAAGAGACAGATGGGCAACGGCCATGCCTGTTGAGAGCCAATGTTTTGTAATTCATTGTTTTCAGTAACAGGAAAACTGCCTTTGTGTCTCACTTTAAACCTCTTTGCTAGGAAAACGGAATGAACTTTTAATTTTTTGTTTAAGCTTCAAGGACTGGTTTGGGCAATTGACTATGTCTGGAAAATGAAAGTGAGGATGGGCAGGGTACAGAAACTGTCCATTTTCATACTTAGGACATAAAACAGAAAGCCAGAGATGGGATCTCAGAGTAATGTGTAACATTGGTTTCACCAATGTGTCTTTGTGTGCAACAAAACACACTGGTATTTATCAACATAGAGACTCATAGGTGGAAGGGTGTTTTTGTACTCTGAAAGCTTGGATCCAAATGCTAGTTCCACCTCTTAGGAGTGTGACTCTGACATGTTACATAATATTTTTCTGAAGTGATATCTTCTTTTGTGTATGAGAATAACAGCCTTATCTTAGTAAGTGATTATGAGAATCAAGAGAGAGAATGTGTATGGGCTGCAAAGAGTGGATACTTATTGACTGATACAATCTTCCTATAGAATATTATTTCTTAAATCTTGTATATTTCTAATACATATCTAGATCCATAAGTTATAACAGCTCTTTTTCTCTTGTGCAACAAGTGAAATTTGGAATAGAGTTCCAGAAAGTAGAAACAGATTCTTGGAATCACCCCATTTTGTAAAAGATTGTTTAATGTCTTTCATCTATTTACCCAACAGTGAACCATGTAAAAAATGTGTGGTGGTTGGTAATGGAGGAGTTTTGAAGAATAAGACATTAGGAGAAAAAATTGACTCCTATGATATAATAATAAGGTAAATAATATTTCTGTTTGTTCAAAAAGTGTGTGTTTCCTGTGTTAGGACAGCTGTGTTTTAAAAGTTGCTTCAATTTGTTTATGTACTTGGTTACACAGTCCCTCTCTTGGTTGTTGCCTAGGGTGAGGCTAGATTTTAGGTTACTGATTTAGCAAATACTAGATGCTCTTATTATTCCAGGCATATGTCTCACCATAGGATAACAGAGGAAAAGAACAGTTGTTTTGTTCCCTGTGGATGTTCTAACATTCTAATGAAAGGATGAAAATAGTAATTAAATATATAAAAAATATAATAAGTGCCACATAGAAAATTTTTAAAAATGATAGTGAATGAGTAATAATTTGGGAACCACTTTAAAGAAAGATTTTAAAGCTGGACCTGAGTGACCATATAGTATCAACAATATAGAGATTAGGGAGGTCCATAGTTCAAGAAGAGAGAATGTTTATTTCATGTCCTCAGGAGGATATAATCTTGCGGTTGAAAGAAGCTGCAAAATCCCAGTAGTGTTAGAGGACAGCAAGGTGGGGTAAGAGTGGTATAATTGGAAGCTGAGGCAGGCAAGGAGCAGGCTGTGCAGGATTAGAATCTTGGCTTTTAAGTACAGCAGGACACTTTTAAAGGTTTTTAAGCAGAGAATAATACAATCTGCTTATGCTTTACAAATATTCTATCTTCAACACCATGTAATGTGAGGGATAAGGGATGAAAATGAAGCATCCTTTTAAATTGCTCTATTCAGGTTAGAGATGATGGTAGCTTGGGAGAGCATTGTCATGGGAGAGAAGTAGGTAAGTGGACAGACTGGAGATATATATATATATATACACACACACACACACACACATGAGGTTATTAGGATTTGTTGTTTTATTAGTTATGAGGAATAATTGGTATAAAGGAGCCAAGGATGCCTTCTACTCTGTGATTAGCTTGAGACTGGCCTGAAAATTGTGTAATTTATTAAGCTGGGGAAAACTTGTGTAGGAGTAGGTAAAAGGAAAAATAAGATTTCTATATTAATATTTTGGATTTGAGGTGTTTATGAGATATGTAGCAGATAGGTAGTTGGATAAAGTTTTGATAGTGTGCAGCCCATGAGATATACATATTTCAACCATGGATCTGCTAAGATTCCCCAGGGAGAAACAGAGACAGACAGATGTGAGGGCCCAGGACAGAGGTTTGGAGCTCAACACGTAGAAGCTAACCAAAGAAAACAGAGTGAGCAAAAGAGATGGAGAGTCTAGTGAGGTAGGAAAAAATTCAGGAGAAGATGATCATAGAAGCCAAGATAACGAAGTGTTACAAATCAGAGAGGATTAATTGGGTCCCAAATGTAATGAGAAGTCATGCAAGACAAGGATAGGGAGGAGACAATGGATTGTCAGCTTGAAGCTATTGTCACTCTGAACAAAGTATCCCAAGACAAGAATGAGAGAGAAGATAAGAAGAGAGGATGGGATATGGAGGAAGTGAAGAAACTACTCAACTCTTGAGAAATTTAGCTCAGAAAAGTAGTTAAATAATGAGCTGGTAGTTGGAGATGGTTACAGAAAGGAAGAAGGATTTACTTTATTTTATGAAGATAGGAGATGCTAGAAAATATTGTTAAACATGAAAATGAGTAGCAAAATATATTGATATGATAAAAGGGAGGAAGTTGGATGCAAAGTACAGTGTAGTTTTTTGGTTTTTTTGTTTTGTTTTGTTTATTTTTTGGTAGTGGGGATTGAATGGCCTTCACACTGAGTTACATCCCAGATCTTTTTTTATTTTGAGAAAGGGTCTCATAAAGTCAGTAAGTTGCCCAAGTTGGGCTAGAACTTGCCAACCACCTGCTGGGATTACTTGTCCCACCATGCCCAACAGGTGTAATTAATATTTTTTAATGGAAAGAAGAGCCCAGACTGTGGTTACAGCTGCTAATATTCCTTTAGATGTAGTGGTGGGAAAATAAAGATGTTTCTATTTTCTCAATGAAAGATTTAGATAAAGTCATCATTGGGCCCAAGTATATGTGTTAAGAATAGCTATGAATAGTCTTCTGTAGGAAAGCTAGCACACTGGGATAATGTTAGGGTGACCTAGCAGTGTTTGAGCATTTTTCTGGGCTGTAAACTGGTTTCTGCATAGCAAGGTCACCTTATTTCCTATAATCCATTTTGAGGAAGCTAGGATAATTTATTCACAAAATATATTTGAAGCATTCACAAATTTCTGTACCTATGAATGCCTAAATCCGATCATTTAGCACAGTGATGAAGAAATTTTTAGAGCTTTCAATGATAACAAACAGCCTGCTGCATGCAGCACTTGTGCTGTAGGCTCGCCACCATTAATTTAGAGCCTTGGTAGGAAAAAACTACTTGTACATTTTGAAAGTCATCTCAAGTGTTAAGACTGTCTTGTATTACACAGTCAGTGACAAAGGATAAAACAGGATTTATCCTCCTAGGGGACACTGTTTTGGAAACAAAGCATTCCTTTTTTTTCAGCATGACTATAGTATGTACCTAAATAGAGCATGTCTAACCTTGGCTCTGAGAGTACACAAACCTAACAGTAGATCCTTTGCAGTTCTTTGATTCCCCCTAGCAATAGATGTTCATCTAGTTTTGCTGAAGTGTAATACAGCAATTTTATATGGTTACTTCATTTCAGAACACAATTTTGATAGGTCTTTAGGTCCAACCTAAATGATTCTTCTTGCCTGTCACTTAGATACATGTCCATGTGTGACAAGATTGTGAGACTATGGGCAAATAACTATCTTTCTGGATTTCAGGCCTCTTAACTATAAATTGAAGGTTTGTGTGGTTGTCATCCAAGGTCTCTATTAACTCTGGTATTCTGTGGTTCTGTGTTCCCATTGCTTATGTAGTCTTCAGTTTCCCTAGAATTAGGACTGAATTGTCATTGCCTCCATCATTAGTTTTCTAATACAAATTAATGTTTCTCCTTTGATCAAACAGCTATTTCATGAAAAGGAAATTCTTCATACATCATTATATGTAAGAGGTTGATCAGTTGCCATGTGGCTTCAGAACACAGACTAAATGGCTATTTGTCTAATTCTGAAACCACTGAAATTTTTGATGGAAATGGCTCATGCTCCACTTGGTCTACATATCTTGCATGTTTTACTACCCACAGAATGAATAATGGTCCTGTTTTAGGACATGAAGAGGAAGTTGGGAGAAGGACAACCTTCCGACTTTTTTATCCAGAATCTGTTTTTTCAGATCCCAATCACAATGATCCTAATACTACAGCGATACTCACTGTTTTTAAGCCACTTGACTTAAAGTGGCTGGTGGAATTGTTGACTCGTGGCAAAATAGTAAGTTGGCAAAATTGATCTGCCTTTAGATTACCTTCAGTATTTTCCCCTTTAAAACATAAAAGACAACCATAACTTTCTATATTCTTTATTTCAGAACACTAATGGATTTTGGAAGAAACCAGCCTTAAACTTGATCTATAAACCTCATCAAATCAGAATATTAGATCCTTTCATTATCAAGACAGCAGCTTATGATCTGCTTCATTTTCCAAAAGTGTTTCCCAAAAATCAGGTATGTATGTATCTTGCCATGGTTTCAAACTAAAGATCTTGCTGAGGTAGGAGAGTGGGTCTTTGGAGCTTTCAAAAACTATTCAAGAATCTTGGCTCATGAAGTAGTATCTAAGGGCTACATCTGAGTTATGTAAAATTAGATGTTGCTATTATCTTTTGTGTTTTTCATGTTGCAAGGAAAACCACCTTAAGCAGAGGGATTTTTGCCCTTGCACAGCCTTCATGGGGTTTCTTTCTGAATGTACAAGTGGCTTATCTCTTATAAACTCATTTTAAGTGTTATGCAAGTAGAATCAGACTCTGTGGGCTGGTTGAGCAGGTTTGTTTTCAGAGTAGCAGAACTGGCCTCAGGACAAGTGCATAGGTTTTAGGCTAAGGAGGATTGTCTGAAGCACTCTGTATTATTAGGAAGCTTCATATTACTATAATTAAATACTGAAGACAGGCTTCTTAAGAAGAAAAGTTTGTTTAGATTCAGTTTTGGAAATTAAAGTCCAAGACTGAATGGCTCCATGCTTTGGGGCTCTGGTTATGACAGCACATCTTTATGCATGTCATAGTGAGTGCTCACATTTGAAGCCTAGAAATAGAAAGAGGAAGTCAGCTGAGTCCCACAATCCCTTTTGAGGGTAAACCTCCCAATAGTGCCACCCTGGAGACCCAGATTTTACATATAGTCCTTTGGCAGGACACTTCCAAACAACAGCACACTCTGCTAAAAACATCACAAGGAAAGTCAAAGGATGGTGAAAACACTAAGGTGGTGTAAAAATATTTCTGAAGGTAAAAAGAAGTGCGGGCATTAAATTCTCAAGTGAACAAAAGTTGGAAGATGACATAGAATCAAAGAAGTTTGTTTCATTTTTGTGTGCCGAAGGAACTGATTCAGGAGGAAAATTTTTATGACAAGAGGAGAAAGTCGAAAGTAGAAGTAAAGCTTTTTGAGAAGGGATGTGTGGAATATATTAATTAGTGAAAGGATTGGCCATAGGCACAAACAAGGATATCTCATCCATTAAGAGGAGGGAGTACTGTAAATATGGGTAAAGGTGCTTGTAAGATGATAGATTTGGAGTTGGGAGTGACACAGCTCTTTTTTGACTGCTTTCATTTTCATAGAAAAGTAAGTATTGAGTTGTTAATTTAAAATAGGAAGACTAAGGTGTTAGAGGCAAGGAAATTACAAAATTTTCATGTTGGAGTGTAGGAATGCAAATCTGTCAGGCAAGTATAATTTTTTGCTGGACATACTGAGAGCCCACTTGAGATTCTGGTCATAAGTTTACCATTTGACCAGGCAGACATATTTTTCTCTTGGTGTATTCTGCTGCTTAGTTGTAGGTACGGTATGATTGGGAAATTAAGTTTCACCAGGTTTAAGGATCTGTCAGGCACTTTTATGGGTGATGGGTCCAAAATTAAAGATGAACATAGGGGTTATTTGTAACTATGGGCAAAGGACTCTGAGGTGTGAAGAAATGAACTGAAGGACCTAAAAAAGAGCAAGGAGAAGGAAAAAATGATGGGATCAATTTCTTCTGTAGCAGATGCCAAGGGATTGTGGTGGAGTTGTAGTGTGTGGGATAAAGGAAAGGTTAGGGGAAAATGAATGCTGTTAGGCTTTTAGATAAGATTGCCTCTTGGAGTTCACTTGATTTTATTGTGCCCCCCCCCTTTAAATCATAAATAATCATGAATTTCCATGGGATCCTTGAATTGTTAAAAGCTTGAGATATCTTTTGTCTTTGAATGGTATCCCCATGAGAATTAACACTTCTGCATTCCGAGAACATTCTGTCATATACCTATTATATGGGTTTTCAAGATACATGAAGAGGAAAAGGGATGCTTGTTTTTCCTTTTTGAGAAAATTGATCCAATTGAAGATGTGATATTTAGTTACCCATCTAGAATCATTGTATAATCAGATACTTATTGAAATTGCTTAGTCTTTTCTAGAGCTAAATTATTAAGAGAATAAAGTTAGGTATCTTAAGGCTTATATGAAGCTTTCTTTTGTAATCATGCTGCGATCTCTTACCAGTCAAATTAAGTTGTCCTTGTATTTTATACATCTCAAACTTCCCAGGGTTTTGCTTTTCCATAAAATGCCTCATTCATGTTTTTACAAAATATTGCAGCAATATTCTCTTCCTTAAGTCTCCTTCCCTCTTCCTTTTTTCTTGTACTGGGCTTTGAACATAGGACCATGCAAGTTCTAGGCAGTGCTGGACTACTGAGCTCTATCACCAGTTTTTTTCTTTTGATGCCTGTCCTCTGAACTAATATTTCAGCTAAGTTTTATTTGAAAAGTTTCTAACATTTCAATTACAGTTTATATTTTTTTCTGTGTTAGGGATACCATTTGGAGCTTTGAGTCTTGGGATATAGTTTAAATATTTTTCACTTGCTTAACTGTTCAGAAATTATTTTCTATAAAACTAGACCAATCGAATGTTTGGAAACAAGTATTTCACTTGGATTTTTAAAAAAATTTTATTTCCCCTCTAGAAACCCAAACACCCAACAACAGGAATTATTGCCATCACATTGGCATTTCATATATGCCATGAAGTTCACTTAGCTGGTTTTAAATACAACTTTTCTGACCTCAAGAGTCCTTTGCATTACTATGGGAATTCCACCATGTCTTTGATGAATGAGGTAATTATGCATACCATTTAATGTTATGTACATATACTTTGGTATCATTTTTAATCTTAGTTGTCAAAAAGCTCGATATTTTTCCCTTACCCTCTCATTTTACTCAGAGAAAATTTTGAAGGGTTGAGGGCTTCATGGAGGTGTTACAAAAAGGTACTCAGGGCTGAAACTAGGACAGTAACTCCCTATTTGTGGGCTTTAGAGCCTTGGGAAAACCTTTTGGTTATTGCCAAATGTCATCAAACCCACATAGGGACCAAGACTTATTTAGGACATAACTTTTGCACCAATTAAATATAAATCATACTTTTCTATTTAAATCTGTTTTGAGATATGTAAATTCATGAAAAGCACTGCTATTCTCATAATTACTCTCATGTATTTTTTTTTTAATTACGTAGACAAGACAGTCTAGAATGGTGGTGAATCTTTAGCTTTCAATGATAGTAGCCAGCTGCAGTGGTCTAGAACAAGGGAACCCCATAAAACAATCTTTGTCTATGAAAGGTTTGCAAACCTTCTCACTAGATCATGTTTCTCTTGAATAGAGATCAATACTGATAAATGTGATCCTGAGGATTTTAATTGAATGCAAAGGAGTTTCCTATTTTTTAATTAATATGAATGATTTGCTGTAAAGTATATGACTACGTTTCATGAAATCAGTCCCTTTAAATAATCCCAAAATACTGCATAAGCTGAGGAAGTGGTATCATTCAGGCTGGATTTTAATAATGGCTTTTGTCCCTCCAACCTTCCTTCTCCCCCTTGATGTAAGACAAACACTTTAGTAGTTCAATAATTGAAAGCCTAGAAAGGCTCATTTATTCTCAGCCCTAATTTTTCCGGTAGTGCTTGTGGTATTTCAAGAGTCACAGAAAGAATAGGATATTAAAACAACTTCTTGAGAAAACATAGGGTCTCCATCAGTAGAACAAAATTTTTATTTCTGTGGTGCTGGGGATCTAAGTCAGGGCCTTGCACAAGTTGGGCAAACATTCCACCATTGAACTATACCTCTGGTCCCAAAAATTTTAAAACACATGTCTTAAGCTGAACCATGCTTTTTGATAGTTTCTCATCTCCACGTCAGTTTATTTTTTTAAATGAGTTCCAGGTGATGCTTTTATAAAACTTCCATTCTGACTTAAAATTTTGATCTCCAGATTTATACCACAATTCAAGACGCCTGAAGAAGCCTTTTAATGACAGTTTAAGAGGATGGGTAGGCTTTAGGGAAAGCTCTCACACAAGAATAAGTAAGGCAGAGATTAGGAAGGTAACAATATTCATGTGACTTAACGTTTGAGGTTAGTATGGAACTTTTAAGATACAGAATATTCTGTTGTGTTAATATTCTGAGATTTGAACAGAAATGGTAATCTTATTTTTTCTTCTTTAGAATGCATATCACAACGTGACTGCAGAACAGCGCTTTTTGAAGGACATTATAGAAAAAAACTTTGTAATCAACTTGACACAAGATTGACCCTACAGACTCAGATTATGCTAACAGTATTAGTTTTATTTTTATATTGCAATTTTTAGTTTATTTTTAAATGTTTGATGAACTTGTCATATAATTATGTATATTGTCTATTGCTGTCTGGTGATTCATAACCACCAGCTTAATTTCTGTGAATATATTTATGAAAACCAAGAAATGTTTAGTTATCAGGGCAATAAATTTTGATTGCATTGTGTTTTTAAAATAAGCTAGGTTTTTGAGGTGTTTTAAAACATCTTCGTAGTTATTTCATCCTAGACTTTTCAGAGGATGTGATTTTCTAAGCAAGGAGTTAATTCACAATTTTGATTATGATGTGACATTTGGAGAGGTATATTTGATTAATGTAAAAGTACCAGGTGGGAAGGTGGCATATGATTATGCCTTGATATAGTAAACTGTAACCACTTGGCTGGAGAAGTCATACTGCTCTCATTTTCCCCCCTCTGCAGTTAATCAAATCATGAATGTGATGAGTAGTAATTTGGTAGAAGGAAGAATTTTTTTTTTTAAGTTAAAGGATATAGAGAAAACATACAATTCTGGATGAGGAAATAACAACTTAATTATCAAAGTCTGGCTGGTTTGCATTATTTTTAAAAATTTAAACTTTTTACAAATGTCCATGGGACAGTGGTGGCAAAAATATACACCTGAATCAGGCTGTTTGTTGATATGGGCATTAAGCAGGGATTCTGAATTTAATGTTGCAACTCGCAGAGTAAAGAAAGGTGTTAAGTTTATTTCCCTGGTTGGCAGAAGTACGAATCAAAAGATGGCCCACTGTGAATGATGCCTGATATTCCATGGCTTACTGTTGATGAGGGGATTCAGAGACTTAGGGAAAAGGGAATGCTTGAGTGGATTTGCCATGTTAAACCTAACCCGCTACACTGGGATGATCTAGAAAATGTACCCTTCACTAACACCTTGAGAAACAAATTTGTGAGGGGAACACCAGCATCCTTGAAGAGCCCCATCATTGCTCTTCTGTGTATGCCAGATCTTGTAGTGGAGATCACGGTTACTGACCTGGGATATTTAAGGGTAATGGGTTTGATTTGATCTTGGAGTGGGAGAAATCAAGTGGAAGCACTTAAGCACCAAAGGAAGGATACATACACCATAAATAGACAGCAGAAGCAGAACAATGATCAGAATGCTCTGACACGTGTAAGACCTATGGCATTGGCTGATTAGCCATGGTGTTCCTAAAAGTGAAATAAACGGCAACCCTAGAAAATTTTTTACTAGATTTATGTAATTGAAAAAAATTTAGGGCAAATGAACAGAAACTTCGTTCTAATCATAGTAGATGGGAATCACAGCTCCTCAAGCAGTCCTCGGATTTAAGCCAGTTTACAGATGCAGAACCCCTTAAATGAAGGGAGGCTGTCCCCTTGGGACTCACCTCTTGGGTGACCCTCCTGCACCAAAAACTTATACAGTCAATCCTTCTACCATCCTTCCCCAAAAGGACCTATGGGCTTTTGCCTGAGTGACTGTACATTAGGGGAAGGGAAATGATCAGACATTGCCAGGGCTACTGGACACTGGGGATATGTGGCTCTCCAGTAAGTGTTAAGGGCCTATGGAGGTTAGGCAATCAATGGAGTTTTAGCAAAGATCTGACTCTGTCTAGTGGGTTCTTGAATCCATCCTGCAGTCATTTCCCCTGTTCCAGAATACATAATTGAGATAGATAATACTTAGTATTTTGAAGAATCCTCACATTGGTTCTTTAACCTGTAGTGTGAGGGCTATTATAGTTGGAAAGGCCAAATGCAAGCCATTAGAGTTGCCTTTGCCTGATAAAATAGTAAACCAAGAACATTATTCCTGGAAGGATTGCAGAGACTATCAAGGACTTGAAGGATGCAGGGGTTGTGGTCCCCAACACATTTCCATTTAATTCTCCCATTTGGCCTGTGCAGAAGAGATGAATCTTGGAGAATGATGGTAGATTACCATAAACTGAATCAAGTGGTGACTCCAAATGCAGCTGCTGTACCAGATGTAGTACCCTTGCTTGTGCAGTTTAACACATTTGATACTTGTTATGCAGCTGATTTGGCAAATGCCTTCTCCGTACCTATCCATAAGACCATCAGAAACAATTTGCTTTCAGCTGGCAAGGCCAGCAATACACCTTCACTGTCCTACCTCAGTTACATTAACTTTCCAGCCCTCTGTCACAACTTAGTTCACAAGGATCTTGATTGCCTTTCTCTCCCACAAGGTGTCAAACTGGTCCATTGATGATATGCTGATTGGACCAAGTGAGTAGAAGATAGCAACCACTATGGATTTGTTACTAAAGCATTTGAGAGCCAGAGGATGGGAGATAAATCTAAGTAAAATTCAAGGTCCTTCTACCTCAGTGAAATTTCTAGGAGTCCAGTGGTGTGGGTCATGTGGAGATATTACTTCTAAGGTAAAAGAAAAGTTGTTGCATCTGGCTCCCTCTACAATGAAAAAAGAGGCACAATGGCTAGTAGCCCTATTTCGATTTTGAAGGCAGCACAATCCTCACATAGGTGTTTTACTCTGGGCCATTTACCTAGTGACTTGGAAAGCTGCTAATTTTGAGTAGGGCCCAGAACAAGAAGTCTCTGCAACAGGTCCAGGCTGCTGTGAAGGCTGGTCTGTCACTAGGGGCACATGATCCAGCAGATCTAATGGTGCTTGAAGTGGCAGTGGCAGGTAGAGGTGCTGTTTGAAGTCTCTAGCAGGCCCACATGGGTGAACTACAGCTGTGACCTTTAGGATTTTGGAGCAAGGCTCTGGCATCATCTGCAAACTACTCTTGCTTTGAAAAACAGTCCTTGGCCTGCTACTGGGCCTTAGTGGAAACTGAATGCTTGACTATGGAACACCAGGTTACCATGCAACCTGAGTTACTTATCATGAGCTGGATTATATCTGATCAGTCATACGGTTAGACATGCACAGCAGTAGTCTGTCATTAAATGGAAATGATGTATATGGGATCAAGCCAGAGCAGGTCCACAGGATACAGTGTTACATGAAGTTGCCCAGATGCCCATGTCTCCTACTCCTGTAACACTGCCTTGTTTCCCAGCATGCTCCTATAGCGTCATGGGGTGTACCATATGGTTCCGCACATTATGCAGGCACCACCAGTAATTGGACAGCTGCAGCATTACAGCCTTTCCAGGACATCCTTGAAGAACAAGGTGAAGGGAAATCTTCACAGTGGACAGAAATTCAGGTAGTGCACCTGTTAGTACGTTCTACCTGGAAGAAGAAATGGCCAGATGTGTGACTGTATAGAATCATGGGCTGTGGCCAATGGTCTGGCCACATGGTTAAGAACTGGGAACATGACTGGAAAATTAGTGGCAAAGATATTTTGGGAAGAGGTATGTGGGTAGACCTCTCCACATGAGTGAATGATGTAAAAAATATTTGCATCCCATGTAAATGGTCACCAAAATGTGACTTCACCACAAGGGGATATCACAAGAAATGGAAATGTTATGGCTTTTGTCTAGATAACCCCCCAAAAGTATCATACTCATAGGTATCGTACTACTCATAGATAGGACTTTTCTGAGGTGGCTGGATCTAGTGTGCATGATGCTGGGATTGATTCATGGTGCAATGCTACGGTTAAGTGTGCTAGGATTAAGGGTGTGAGTGCTACCTACCCTAAGAGTGGGTAGGCTGGATACAGAAAAGGTTTGTCACTTCCTTGCTTTTGCTGTCTTCTGCCTGCCATCAACTGTTTCTCCTCTGCACATTGCCTTGGAGCCAGGCAACTATGAACCGAAACCTCTACAAACTGTTGAGCTAAATAAACCTTTCCTGCCTTAACTTGTGAGTGTTGGGTATTTTGTCTCAGCAAGGAGAAAAGACAGAAGCTAACCTACATGAGCTCAAGAAGAAAATTCTTAAAACATTTTTTGCATGGCTTAATTTATCCACTAAATTGTGAATGTTTAAAAAAATTGTGAACATTTTTTGTTTGAAGTAAAAATAGGAAAGTTAAGGAAGATGAGAAACCAAGTAAACCCTTAAGAGTCAAGGTGGTTTTTTAATTTAAATAAAATCTTTTTCATATGGACATTTTTTACTGGGAAATACTGGTGTTAACTGACAACCCATCACTTCCTTAAAGAGAATATATAAAGGGTGAATATCACCTCTAGATCAGAGTAGAAATCAATGACATACTTCTAAGCAGTATAAGGGGGAGAAAACTAGTAGATGGTTTAACCCAGGTGAGATATTCATTATATGGATATGCCCCAGTTTCATTTGACCTTCTAATAACCCTGAGGTACTAGACTTAAGATCTAGTGGGACAGGGCTGGGAATTTAGCTCAGTGGTGCTGCTGCCTGCCTTGCAAGCGCAAGGTCCTGAGTTCGATCCCCAGTACCAAAAATAAAAAAATAAGATCTAGTGGGACATTTTTTCCACACCACACAGCCATGACTTGCAGCTTGGCTGCTAAAGTTGTTTAATATCAAACAGGAGCTAAAATCAGACTCCAAAAAGGATGGCGCTGACCATGGAAATAAAATCAAAAGAAGAATCCAACAGTGGCACTCTCAAATGTTGCAATATTGAGAAACCTGGCATTTTATGACAAAAATCTACAAACTTCAAGGGTGGTTTATTTAAGCCAAATAATCTGAGCAAGACACATATACACAATTTTTAAAAAACATGAACACAATAAAATCTTACTATACAATGTAAAATTCTAGCAACATATACAAATACTGAGTGACTACAGTACATGCCGAGGTAAGAAAAGTACATTCTAGGAGAATACAACTGACACCCAAACATTTTTACTTTCAATATGTATTTCAATACATGTTCTGTTTACACTTTTCCCAGTACCAAAAAGAAAACCAGTCACAAGTTGGATTAAATGAGAATTGGTACAAGAGTTGGCCTAAAAGTATTTCAATAACCACCCAACTCTTACTTGGATTGTTTGCAATTCAGCAACTTCAAGTTGAAAACCAAAGGCAGAGCTAATAACTATTTTCCTGGGCAGAGGCTGGTCATTTGTCTTGGTAGGGGTTAACCGAAAAGCTTTCAATGTTCCACATAATGTATTGGTTCTTCGTCTCGTTGGACACGGTGTTTCTAATAGCCCTTCTCCTCTCCAGATGACAATGTAGAACCAAGGCAAAGAAGCACAGCTTTATCACTTTCTAAAGCTTTGAGGCCATATTCATATTAAATGAGCTCATATTCTGCTTCTTGCCCCTGGGTGAGGGGAGAAAGGTAAACATAATGGACTTTTAATTCTGCATAAATTCTCTGCTTGGACCACTTTTATCAGCGAATGAATCCACTGCTTAATGCAAAGTGCAAATAGTGAAACATGAACTTAAATACCTGGACTAGACCTGGCACTTACAACAGGATCCATTTAGGTTTACAGCGTTTAATAAAAGATAAATCAGAAATAACAATATCATTAACTGTGCTGGTTCCTAGAATCAAGTAACAGGCCAAGTCAGCATAACTCTATGAAACCTATAGTGGTCACGCTTGCCAATCACTTCTGATTCTATTTCTGTAACTACTGTCAGGGGAAAAATAAAATAAACCACAGTGACTGAAGTCTTAAATGTTTCAAGCAAAGAATAAACATTCAAGGGAAATTTGTCAAAAATTGTTATATACCTTCACATTTTCGGTTGTTATTTGATTGTCTCCAAGGCTGTGTGCTGTGTTTGTGTGTGTGTATGCAAGTATATATATAATCTGATATAATCAGACATATAAATATACTACAAAACAAAAAATTAAAAAAATCTCTAAAATGAAAAAACAACTAAAAAGTACAAAACTAGAAAAATGATTTGAATCAGGCTCAGCTCTTCTGTAAAGTAAAATATATAAAAATAGTAAAAACTAGATATTTTATTAAAATCATTGGCAGTTCAAGGACAGCACAGTGGCAATATGAATCAAGTGTTAAAATATGCATCATTTCAGAAAATTTGCCTCATAAAAAAAGAAACCAAGCTCCAAGGAAAAGCAATCAGGTCACACAATTACACAAAATATTAAGTTTCTTTGGGAAAATGAAAATTACTGAAAACATTTCTCTTAAAGCTTTACACAGGTACATGACTTGGGAATAAGTATATTTTCGGTGATGAATAAAAACAATAAAGCAACTGGTTTACTCCATTCCCACCTGAAAGGACATAGGTGCATTAATACATGTGCTTTACACATTCATATACGGTTTAACAGAAGTTTAGCAGCTGTGCTTTTTGTTTCAAGTATCTTGAAACAAAATATGCATTGATTTTTCAATGACTGAAATTGTGCCTCCAAGTTTGAAAAAGGAAAAGCAAATGTGAATAAAACCAACAAAATACTGGAGAAGGCCAGGAAGCTGCAGAAATAATTCATTTTTATGCAGTTTCTAGAATACAGTACTGGTATACTTACGGATGCATCCAAAATGAATACTGTTCATCTTTATTCAAATTTAGTAAATTCTGGCAACAAAATAATCTGGTGGCATTAAGTCAGAAGAAATGACTAGAACCTAATGGGAAATAGCTCTATTTCCTTACTATTATCTTTTATTTTACTCTTTACTTTTAATTTGATTTTTTTCATATGTACCTGAATCAACTCCACACAAGGAATGTAAACATTATGTACTGCAAACATGTACTAATGAAAAAAAATTTTTAAGTACATTTTTTACATCAAGTCTACCAACTAATATTCATGGAAGAAGGGATGTCAAATTTATATATTTTTATCACATAGTGAACTTACGTTGTCTTGCCGCAAAGTCTAAAGATGTTTAGACGTGGTTTTTGTACTATAGACTAATAAATGACGTTACATATGACTTCTCATTCACCCCATCTAAAACAAGTTCTGGGCAGGTCATAAACAAATGGTGGCTAAGAGTTGCTGGGAGGTATGAATTTCATTTGCTAGGATGCTATCCCCATCTATTCTTTAGGTGTGACACAAAGGACTACTCACAACTCTTACTATACACAAAAGGCACAAGCACATCGTACTGAAGGATATACACTGGATTTCTATTTCTTATAATAGTTTTACTGAGGAAAACAAATTAAAATTATTTGACTAAAACAACACATCTTGAGACTCAAGTTTTGTGCGTGTGTGTAAAAAACCAAAGAGGACAACTCTGGTCACTTTTTTTGGTTTTCAAGGTAATTTATATTACACTTCTGAGTGTAGAGGGAATCTTCTTTACAGCTTTTCTAAATTTTAAATTGCTTCTCTCCTGTTTCCACATAGAGATGTATACTTAAAGCCATCAGAGGATCTGATTTCATGAGACTGATAAAACAAGCATTACCTATAAAAAAAAACACTAATATTTTATAAACAAGAATGGACCCAGTCACAAAGGGCCCCAAGTAGAATAAGCACGAAGGAGACCAGGTCCTGTACCATGAAGTATTAAAGCTCTTTAAGAGTGCCATCAAGTGATAAGTTGGTCGCCCAGCTTATTACAAGTCACTTTCCTAGCCACCAATCTTCCTAAGACAGAGAAGTGTGTATAATCAAAACAATGTTATATCACCACTTTTTAAAAATCCAGGATGCAATATAGAAATAGAAAAGGGGAAAACATAATAGTACCCACCTTTCACAAAAGGAAAATTTCAAGCCATTAGATATTTCAAGAACAGTACCATGCATTATTGCCCATCAGGCTTACAGAACCAATTTGAGTTCATTAATGTACCTGCAGCATTGGTAATAAATACTCAGTGATTTTCAGTTTCTTTGAAGTGCATTATAGGGATCTTTTTCTGTATTAAAAATAGTGTTTTACAGTAGTAATAAACAAGTTGTTGAAAATTTAACAGGCAAGCAGTAACTGTGCAACAGTAACACCTTTAAAGCAAGATGGCAAGATAAGTAGTTTTCTGTATTTTGGCCACATTTTCTCAATCACTTCAGTGACAGATATGTAATATATTCTACATATTACTACCACTAATAATTTTTTTAAAAGGCCATGTGCTTTAAATTGATGCTTTGTAAAAAGCAGCATCATCTTCAAAGGATTTCTTTAAAAACATCATACTCCCCATCCCCTCTTGCTTCTGATACTTCCTGTGTGCTCTGTGGCACCTGGTACACCAATTCTTCTGGGGCAGCTGGCTTCCCACCTTTAGGGGTATCATACTGGGCCTGGGCTGAGGAGCAGCTGTCAGTCCTGGAGAGAAGTGTATTGTAAGTTCCCACTAAAGGGGGATGCTGGTTCCCTGTAGCTTTGAAAGTGGATGTAGAGGGCAGACCAACTGAGGCTGTGGGGTGTCCTGACATGTCCATGACAATTGGGGTTGCATATTCAGGCCCAGTGATTGGGAGTGGTTCAGCATAAGCATGATAAACTTCCTGCACTGGAGAGTTGTAAAGATCTAGGTCTGCATAACCTGCTTCTTTTCCTTCTTCTGGTTTAAAGGTAGATCTCTGATGAAGTGTACCCACAATTCCTCCCACAAGTGGTTGTGCATACTCTGTGGATGTCACAAAACACAAACAAAATGTTATCTCACTAATACAGCAATTCCATAACTTAAGGTGGCACCCACAAGTTGCACCAAAAACAAACATTTATTTATGGCACTATTGTTGCTATCAGTGAAGACTTATGGATTTCTCACCTACAAGAACCAACTTCATGAACTGGGGATTTAGCTCAGTGGTTCCACTGCCAGCCTTGCAGCGCAAGGTCCCGAGTTCAATCCCCGGTACCAAAAAAAAGAACCAACTTCAAAATTAAAGATGTTTTCTAGTATCTTAGAGTAATATGCCAGAAAGCTTTATTCATGTAACTCTGCATAGACTATCTGTATATGTTCTTTAGATTTACAGAGTACTTCACTAGAAAAGAAGCATTTAATTACTGGAATAAGTATTAGTTTTGGAAAATAATAATTTTTTTCCCTTTTCACATATAAGAAAATATTTAAAATGAATGTATACTAGGATAACAGGATACTATAAGGCTTTTTCTGTCTTTCCTGCTCTCCTCTTGTCACTGTTCCTTGCCCAAAATAAAACAAGACAAAAACAGTATTTTAAGTTAACACATAAAATTCCCAAAGCCTTTAGAAATAAATGGCCCAATTTTATGAACAGAACAAAGACATAGAAATGATTCTCTCAAGGTCGTCTTTTTTAAGTCTACCTTCAAAAGTTAATTCCTCTTTAACATGAAAAATATCAAAGATACTGTCAATTCTAAAACAGTTTACAGCAAACATAGGCAGTTTCTCCCTCTACCTACACTCAAAAGCTGCCACATAATTACCTGCAGAGTCAGTCTGTAGCATTGTGGTGACTTCTCTCGGATTTAAATGATTAACTTCACTACTGCTGTAGCGAACTGGGGTTTCCTCGTGTTCCACTGATTTGGCAGGGAGAAACTGCTTCATTCCTTTCCACCAACCTTCATTGTGATCATAAGTCAAAGAGACCATTTATTTGTATAACAGTATCTTCATATTAACCTTCATATTCAAGAGTATTTCTGCTTTGATAGGATATCCAGTGCAAGGTAGAACATGGTAATAAATACCTAAAACAAACTAGCCTTTATATTCAAGCTTATTTTCTGCATTGATAGAATATCCAGTGGAAAGCAGAACAGAGTAGAGATCTCTATCAAATGCATACGCAGAAATCACTGCTGTTGTATCCAGATAGTGTGTCTATGTTAAGGATTGTTTTAAATAATTTTTTCTCAAACAATACCTTCGAAGATTCACCCTGGGGAACCAGCAGCCCTGTGATCTGTTCCACCACTGTCCTTTTATACTAGCAGTAACATGAGGGGGGGGGCTGTCAAGGGACCTCTGATGTCACCTGTAGCAGTTCAAAAGAAGACTAACCATCACTGTAGAGATGGCAGACCCTATACACTATTATATTTTACTTAGTGAGCAGCCACAGCAGTGTGACAAACATACTTTGTTACTGGACCATGGCCCTTTGTTTCTTACTTAGCACTCACCAGACCACATAGAAACCTGGTCTCCCTTCAGAGGAAGACACATAGGACAAACCAGACAAGCTTTCCACAATAAAAAGAACACCATGTATCATTAAAAATCTGCACTTTCCACTTCATTACTGATTAACTAGAAGAGAATGCAGAAGAGTAAAAATAGTGAGAAGAGCATGCCATTTTTCTATCAGTATGGGGGAGCTGCATGGGCTAGAGAATACAATCCTCTTACACTACTGCCACCTGTAGTGGAGGGATTTCCCTCAGTCAGAAAAGAGATGAAAAAATCCACATGAGTTACCTGCCCGGTCCCAGGTAGGTAAGTCATAAGTGCCTTCAGTTTTTTTCTTTCTGGAAAAGTACAGAAAGAAATATTAGCAAACAGAGTGCATACTCTGGTAAGAAACCTCTGAAACTGAAGCATGAACACCTGAGTTAATAATTAGTCAAGAACACACATTTCTACTTGCTGATCTACCTGGGGGCATTCTCTACTTCATTTAACTTTTGGAGTTGCCATTGCTGAAGCTTCTAAGTTCTGGCTCTCAATAAATTTACCTTGTTACCCACCTATGATTCACAGGAAAGTGGTAGAGGAAATAAAGAAGGGCAAGTCTGTAGATTAAAAGATAATCAAAGACTAAGCCCTGACAGGAGAGCTTCTATAGGCAAATCATGTTAGGCCTGTTTTGGATTCAAATATAAATTTCATAAATCAATTCATTCAAAAAGTTCATAGTAAAAAAACTGGTTTCCTATTCTGTTGTTCATTTTTCCAATTTTCTGCTTTTCTTTTAGAGTCCTTTGCCCAAGAGAAGTTGGAAGTGTCTCAGACCCTTAACTGCACAGATGCCATTCCCTTCATATTTCAGCATGCATCAATGCTCTCACTAACAGTGACAAACGGCAAAGGGAGGAAAATGGTTCTCAAAGCGTGGGAGGCACCAGAGTGTGTGGAGAGTTCAGAGCCATCAAGTATAACAAAAAAGATTCTCCCCAGTCCACCTGTAAAAATTCTAATTTGTTCTCCCCAGGAGAAATGTCTCCCTCTATTAAGAATTACTATTGATCAAGAAGCTTTTACAAAAAAAAAGAAAGTGAAATACTTTCTGATTCAGTTTTGTAAATATAATTTAACTAAAATTAGTACTTTTCAGGCTAATGAGAAAGCAGAAATTATTCTTGTCTATAAGTGAGGGTAAGGCAGCTATATGATTTGCTCAAGATCATAAATTTGGCTTTCGTAAAGAGCCCAAGTCATTTATTTTTTACACGGGAAAACATTTATTTCTTATGTAAGGCTGTCTTTATTACTGATATTTAAAATTTCTTCATCTTTAAAGCATGACTGTATTTAAATTATTTCATTATCTCAAAATAAAGTATAATATAAATTTGTGGAAAAGATAAGAGGTGTTAAAGCTGGTAATAAAAAACTGGAATGGAAATGATAAAATATGATGGCTTATTAAGTAATTTTCTCCCTGAAAACCCTCTAGTTCAGCCCTGGGGCCCAAACCCTCCCCCCAGGGAGGGACCTGTTATAAACTAGGCTGGACAATAGGAGATGAGTTGGCAGGTAAGTGAGCAAAGGTATTACCACCAGAGCTTTACCTCTTTTCAGATCAGTGATGGCCATTAGATTTGCATAGTTAGGTAGGTTGCAGGCTCTTTGAATCATCTGGAAACCATCCCACTCACCCTCCCAACCCCCAGCTCGCACTGTGAAAAATCTGTCTTCTACCCAAGTGGTACCTAAAAAGGCTGAGGACCACTCCTCTAGTTACCCTACGATTTAAAAAAAAATTAATGTTTTCTACATGAAAGTGATAGTCTATATAACTAGGACAAAAATTAATGGCCTCAATACTAAAGGTTGAATACAAAGGATTTTATAATTAAATCTCAAGTGAAAAGCCTTCAGGTTGTTCGTTACGTTTAAGTGCTTAGAATAGTGGTTGGTGTGGGTTAAGGATTCAGTAAGTTGCAGCTGTTTTTATTATTTTTCCTCCTTCCTATTTTCCACAGCACCTTGATGGTATCTGTTCCTTTACTCTTTGTAGAGAAGCTAATAATCAGGAATTTCAACTACACTGTTGGTCTAATTCTCTAGCTTAGCCCTCTTGTCCTGAATACTAGACATGTATTCTGACTCCTTTTGGGAATCTGAATATTCAAGGGTCCTTTAATAAAACACCATCCCAAACTGATTTCAGCGGGCCAGGGATTTAGCTCAGCGGTTTCGTCGCCTGCTGCGCAAGCGCAAGGACCTGAGTTCAATCCCCGGTACCAAAAAAATAAAAATAAATAAATAACAAATTGATTTCAGGACCTAACTCCTGCCTCCCTCTCAAAAACTCCTCTCCCCTATCCTCACTCTCACACCTCTATGTTTTTACCACAATTGATTATATTTATGCATTTATTTATTATACCTTCATAGCAGGGATAAGAGAATAAGCTGTGAAGACTGGCCCAAAACTACTTTGCCACTTTCCAGCCAGTGACCTCAGGCAAGTTATATTGTTGGCTTTGTCATTATTATTATTGTTGTTCAGTTCACTGAATGCACCACATGCACTTTCCCCTCTTCCCTTTTCTGCAGCCCTTTTTGTCTCTTCCTTTCTTTACTGTCCTCACACTAACTCACTGGCTCTGCTCAGTCTTCCCAACACCATGAATCTGATATCCATCTAAGATGCTTCTCTAGCTCCCTCCTGTGACACAAATTCTGTACTCCATGCCAAAGCTGACAGTTTTCTGTACTGTATCTTTTCCTAGTCTATAAGCTTTGAGGTTCACTTCTGGATGGCTCAATACTTGGCACAGGGTAGCAGCCAAGGAGTCAAATATCTGTTGAATAATTGAACATATAAAACCATCTTCTTTCTCTACCAAACCTGCCCCTCCTGCTGTTATCTCAACTTGATATCACTACTGGTCTAACTGGACAAGACAGAAACCACAATCCACCCCAGATTCTTCCTTCTTTAGTACACAACTAGTCATGCATCCTTTTGATGGTGCTCTGAAACATCTCCCCTCCATCTCCTACCTTCCTTAGAATCAGTGCCATGTTTCTGCCAGGCCTAATTAGTTTCATAACTCATTTCTCTGACTTTCTTTTTCCTCTTCAATTAATCCAATTCACTTTTCATAAATCCTGTCACTATCCTTCTACAATCATATGATAGTATCACCTATGTGCTTAATATTCAATGATTATCCCATCCACAGAATAAAAGCTAAAGATTTCTATGGTTGGTGCTGAGGACTCCCTCATGCCAACCTCACAAAAGATAACTCAATATTCTGCCTAGACCCTATTTCTCTGTCTTTACTCAGGTAATTCCCTCAATTTGGGCTATTCTCTGTTGTAACCCTTTAAATGTCTGTGTCTCTCCAAATTCCAATGTTTAAATTCTAACCCTGCTATTGCCCTTGGAAAAGAGGCCTGAGGGAACCTGCTCACACCTCCCTCCATGTGAGGACAGAACAAGAAGGTACTCTTTGGATTAGAAAGGGGCCCCTCAATGGTCAGTAAATCTTCCAGTGCCTCACAGCCTCCAGAGCTGTGAGAAATAAAGGTTTGTTGTTTACAAGTCACCACATTTATGGTATTTTCCTCTAATGATCCAAACAGTCTATAACATCTATCTCTCTACCTTCCTCTATCTAGGCAACCCCAACTCCTTTAAGGTGAAATATGAGAATTTTCCTTTCCTGAAGAAAAGGCTTCAAATAAATTTGAATGGTTCTCTTCAGTACCAGTACTTCATGTATAGGATAGTTCCTTATTTTGTGTCAGGCAACCCTACTCATCACTTTAGTGAAATAAATTATCCTCTTTCTTCAGTAAAAATGACTACTATTTATTGTATCAGACATTGATCACATTACTGCACAAATTCCAATGTATAATGTAGAACTTAATATAAGAAAGGTACTAAGTAACTAACTGGGAATTGAACTTATTAGTTTTTAATGGGAATAATAAGAAATATATGTAGTTTTTATTCTAATGACTCTCATTCTCAAATGGGTAAACTGTTTTATCTTCTAAATTTAGTTTCTATTTAACACTGGAACACTCCCTCTGACCCCCAGAACCAATGAGGTGAACTACCTCTGTACTAACCTGTTTCTCCAATGCCAAGCACATACTAATATTAGGATAAGAGTAGTGAGGACCATGACTAGCACAGGGACAAGAACAGCAGCCAATGCTACATCTAAAATTATAAAAATTTAAACAATTAAAAAACCACATAAACATCAAAGGCATAAAAATTTTTAAAAATTAAAAAACCACATAACACAAAAGGCAGAAATGATGAGGAAAAAGACTGAAAAGATTTAGCCATATCATTGCTTAACATTTTCCTGTATCAACAAATAGCTTATCTATAATTTATGAAACCACACTGGGCATGAGTTAGCAATTGCAAAAAGTTTTACAGATATACCAATCATTCCATCTTTGTTTATGTTTAAAATTTTTGTTAAGTTTTATATCACCAAAATAAAATAGAAAGACAAACAGTAAGTAGGGAAAGTGAATTTTCTGCATATGTAATAATATGAAGAATTAACATAGGACTGTACAAGTCAAAAGCAAACACTATAATAGAAAAAATCAGTGGCGATCAATCATCAATACATTAAATAAATTAGCCTCATTAGTAATCAAATAAATGTAAGTTAAAACAAGAACAAAACACTATTCTTGCTTATCAACTTGACACATACTTAAAAGAACAACTAATTGTTGAAGAGAATGCTAAGAAATAGGTATTTTTAAAACATAGGAATGTAAGGTATATTTTTCTGATTGGCATTTTGAGGAAATATGTATAAAAACTTATGAGAGTTGGTAATTCTACAGCTAGAATTTATTCTTCCCATGAAATTAAGAAGATATTCTAAGATGCAGCATCAAAGATGTTAATTCCTATTTGTGCATAACTGGAAATAATCTGAATATCCAATGATGAGAGGGATTAAGTGAATCATGGTGTCCTCTGAATAGTAGAATATAATTTAGCACTTGAAAATTGTGTTATACATAATAGCAAAATATTTATAGATATAGGAAGGTAACAATAGTGTTAAACACAATAAAGCTGACCGGAAAAAAAGTGTGTATCAACAGTTCAGAAACCAACAAATGCTGAAGCTGGCCAGAACTTAGAAAACATTTAATACCTTTATCTTACCCTACTCATAAAGAATCCTGGGCCCTGGTACACAAAGTGAAATGACCAAGGGTACCTTGAATATTAGTTTCTTTCTTCATCCTTCAATCCCCTCCTAGCCATGAGGATGAGAACAGTGGCAACTACTGATATTCAGGTGGGGCTATGACCCAGATACTGCAGTGAGTCTAACTGCAACATCTTTTTTTACTCCTTTCATGCTGTATCCAAAAGAGAGGAAAAGACTGATGACAGAGGGTAGAGGCAGCATAATCAATAATGGCAGGGGGCTCTGAGAAGCCAACGGATGGGTGCCAGGGCACAGATGAAGTGATTACTTCCAGGCGGCACAAGGAACTCCCTTGATCAAGGCACTGAACAGAGGATGCATGTAAGTTTCTTGGCTCCTTAAGAAGTTATTTCCCTTCCAGTGGTTTCCACTTTTTTGCAAAGTTGGAGAAGTAACTGAGAGTGAATAAAGATCTCCTGGTCAAATGCTTGAAAAAAATATGGAGAATGTTAAAAAATAGTTTCAGTTGAGAACAAACAGAAGAGTTCACTAGCAAAATCTCAATGATCGCCAGCATACATCTGACCATGACATGACTTTCTCCCTGAAATCACTCTTGGCCTGAATGTAAAAATAGAGAAGGTGAAGTGCATAAAACAAAAATTATGACTCAGTCTATGAAACTCAATTCAGAAAAGTAAATGTGTTTTTTCTCTAAAATTTGTGAAACTGGAGAGAACAGTCAGGTTTAGATGAATGCCATGTGACTGAATCAGAGGCCTTAAAGTATCTGTTGAGGTTTTAAAAATTAATAAATCTATACATTACCATCTCAAAGAAAAGAAGGCAGGAGGCCTTCAACTGAGACTACCAGCCCATTCTCTGTTATTCCTTTTAAGGTTACAAGAATCCTGGCTCTGGAAGATTTTAAGGATGCTCTTAACCCTGAGATTTTGATGTTCTATAATCAAGATTTTAAGATGGAATGATACTTTAAGTGACTGTTCTTCCATCCAGGCATGTGGCCTGGGATCCTGCCTAAACACAAGACTTCTGCAAATTGGAAGAAGCTCTTTGGGAGATGTTGAGATTTCTTGCCGCTGAGAACTCTGCAAGTGATCTTTGTTAAAATTCTTCAAAAGATAAGAAAGAAATTGGCATGTGGTATGTCGAAGAAAGTTATCTGAATCTAGCCAATTTTTAGAAAATGAGAATGATTAGAGTTCCATGTGGCAAATGTTGCTCTAGATTAACTGCTTTCACTTCTCTCTACACTTTTGCTGAAAATCTGTATGCTTTTTATCTGTCCACACTGGTACTAATTCCCTTACAACACTGACAGTTTTTTTCCCTGAATTCAACTGAAATTTTTTTCAACAATTAGTAAAAAGAATATTTTTTCTATGTTTTAACTATGTTTTTGTACATTTGAACACCTTATTTCTCACTGGTAACACAATTTGAAAGTAAATTCTAATACTTTTGTACAATTTCAAATCATAATTATAAACTTAGAAAAAGAGATGAAAAATTTTTTGAGTACATTAACGTACTTTAAAAAAATAGTACTTAGTTTTCACCCAACAGTTCTGTTTCTGTTTTCCCTCTTTGCCACCAAGCTCCTTGTCCACTAAATTAATAGACCACTAGAGCAAAAAAACAAAGTGTTTGATTTTAGTGACTTCTAGAAATACTGTATTTCTAAGCCTGACACTCAGTATGTTTAGCTGGAAGGGGGAAAATATAAAAAGAGAAAGGCTATAAAACAGTAGCTGTCTCTAAATATTTAAATAGCAATTTAACATGGTCAGTGCAGCCAGTCTTTTCTCTAAAAAGTGCAATTAAATTTTTTGTTAAGACTTAAAAACTACAGTGGAAGGGAAAGAAACCAAGGCCTTAAGCTGGAAATGGTCCTGAAAGCATTTGTTAAAAACATACACTATAACAGGTATTCATTTTTGCATTCGCATACCTTTGGTTACATTTGGAGTTATGGTCGTATTTTTGATATCAGGAGTGACAGTTGTTTGGTCTGTCTGTGCAGGAAATTCATTACTACTGCGCGGTTGTAATGGCTGAGTAAATTTTGGGGCATGACCTTAAACAAGTTTTAGAAACAATTTTTTAATCTATACCTTAAGATGAATTTACTTCATAATGTTTAAATACACATATCAAAAATTATAGCACAAATCCAGGTACTAACAAGTTCTCACATTAGAAGCAGGCGTACCTTTGGCTACTTTGGGAGGGACTGTGGTATTTTTGCGGTCACTGTTCTTCTGAGGAGGTGGAGGTTGAGTAGGTTTTGGAGGACGACCTTGAAAAATGGTTTAAAAAATTTAATACATTTTGCTTTTAATAAACCATAGTTAAAAAACAGTAATGTTATTAAATTTTTGCAGTGATTTTTAAATCTCAGAATAAGTATAAATATCATATTCTGCATTAAATATACAATTATACCAAGATTTTTCAGTTTTTAGATAACTAAATCATCTAAAAATAATCTTAGGAAAATATTAAGAAGTGGAATGATGTTAAAATCTAACACTATATAGGTATCATCACAATTTGACATATTAATTATTTAATTAATGCAGTAATTATGGAGAACAAACTACACGTCAGGCATTGTGGTAGTTGTGGGGGATACAACTTTAAAATATTGTAAAATACTGTGAGAAGTTATTCTCACTTTTAGTTAATTCAAAGTGAGAGGTACTTAGGCCTCAGTTATGGTTCTAATCTTCAGTGCTTATAATATAGCACATGAGACCTGATTAAATTTATTAAAATTCAATCTAGATATCTCATAAGAATGATGCTACTTCTTTCACTTGTAATTATGGTAATAATTCTGATATGCAACTTTTTATTTATCTATTTTTTGGGGGGTACTGGGGATCGAACTCAGGACCTTGCACTTGCAAAGCAGTGGTAGAATCACTGAGCTAAATCCCTGGCTCTGTAACTTTTTAATATTATAATTTTTTACTTTTAAAAATTCCTATAAATGGTACTATAATTAAACACAAAAGTACTTATATTTTATTTATTACTTTCTCTGAGAATAGCAAAACCCATTTAACTCCCCAGTAGAAAGCATTTTTTGAATGTTCCCAACACAAAGAAATAATATATGTCTGAGGTGACACATATGTCAACTACCCTGATCTGATCATTACACATTATATACATGGATTGAAATGTCACATAAATGTATTTTCTATGTGTAGTAACACAAACCTAATTATTGTGTGTCAATTTTTAAATATTTAAAAATGAACAATCTATTGAAAATAACATGTTTTAAACGCATGTCTCTTTACCTTTAGGAATAAACTGACATCCGAGCAGTTCCACTTTCATGGCAATTTTCTGCTGCCATTGCATAGGGATCACTCTAATAAAACGTGCAATAATTGGTGGCAAAAAGTTGTTACGCACATCCTGGTGATAATCTTTGTTTCCTTGAAATATCTTTAAAAAAAACCCAACAAATTTATTGATACTTTACATCAACAGAGGTCAAAGCTAACCTGCTCCACTTTTGCTCTGAGCCTTAAACAACATCTGTAAAGTATCACAATAAGAATCAATTTCTACAAAATAAACTAATAATTTTAAAAACTTTTCATTAAAAATTTATGAAATAAAAATATTGAATATAAAAATAATTCAAGAATTTAACAGGAGTGCTAATTTGAAACTCTGGAAAAGGGAAAAGTGTTTCAGTCACAAAGAAACAGTTTATTGCATTAATAAATTCTGAATTCTAGTCCTGTGGAATTCCAAATTATTTATATATATTAGTTTTATTTTTAAAATAAAAAGATAATAGATCATACAAAGTCTTACAGGAAATGCTTTGCTTGTGTACTTTTTGTTTGTTGGTACCGGGGATCAAACTTGGGTCCTTGAGCTTGCGAGGCAGGCAGCGGATCCACTGAGCTAAATCCCCGGCCCACTTGTGTACTTTTTATAATTGTTTTCAGACTGAAAGGGAACATATACTAGCTAATAACAGATATGTACCTCCACCTACTGGATAAACTCAATTAAGACAGGTCCCATATAATTCCAGTTTTCATTCATTACTTGCTGCTACCTGAACCAGACAAGTAACTCTAAAAAACCATTCTGTGGTCTAATTTAATGAACATAACTAAACAGCTACAAATGCATTCCATAAATAGCTCTCAGAGGGAACAAGTGACTTGTTCCCTCAACTATTTCTAGAAAAAAAAAATGATAGTATCTTAACACTGGATCTGCTGTTTATAAAGCATTTTCAGATAACTGATTCAGAAGCTCTTCAGAATGAAACAGGCAGGGCACAGAAAACTGACTCAAAGAATCTAGCGGATGGTACAATATTAAAGGCCAGGGCAGTAACTGTATCTGAGTTTTAATATTAAGTAGAGGGTCCCAACAAGCCATGAAGTGCCTTGCTTGATCCCTCCAGTCAAATCAACTAGGTAGCTTCTTAAGACCCATAATAAGTAGACACTGCCATAAAATCAAACTGGTATTTTTTTTTAATCAGCTAAGGTGAGAGCAAGTAAAGGCTTAATTTCCCAAATATTATGGCTATTTCTTCTTGGCTGATTCATGGAATTACAAAGTCTCTAAAGACATGCCAATATCCTTCATTTTCTAAAAGGTTTGTTTTGGAATTATAATAATCTTCACACTCACAAGCTTCCATGATTTTCTTCAATATTTCTCTGAAATGAAGACAATTATTTGTAGTCATATTATTAGAACAGGAACGAGAGCAAAACATTTTAGGACATAGAAAGTATTATGGCAAACATGTATCCCTCCCCCTAAAAAAGAGAATCAAGAGATGGGAGGAGTAGGAAGGGAAGTAAAAGGAGATGTAAGAGATATTAAGATGTATTATGTACATGTACCAATTCCCCACAAGGAATGTAAACATTATGTACAAGTATGTACTAATAAATAAAAAGAATGATTATAAGGTCTATATATTGTAATCTCAATTTTATAAAAGTCTTAAAAGAACAATTTTATAAAACAGTAAAAGTGATGTGCTATAGTCAGGTGTGTCATTAGCATAGACTAGAAATGAAATTTGAGTTTCTATTCTTCAAGGGACTTAAATCTTATTGGATATTACCAAATACATATATGGCATATTAGAAAGTAATAAATCATGCAAGTTGTGTAAGTTTATCAATCCTATTTTGTAAACATAAAACGAAGCTTGGTCTCTATCTGTATGTATGTACAGTATAGGCTTAGAAAAATCAACACACAGGGCTGGGGATTTACCCTGCCTGTTGCACAAGCGCAAGGACCTGAGTTTGATACCTGGTGCCAAAAATAAATAAATAAATTTTGGGCTGGGGATTTAGCTCAGTGGTTTCAGTGCCTGCTGCGCAAGCACAAGGACCTGAGTTCGATCCCCAGTACCAAAAAAAAAAAGAAAGTCAACACACAAATTATCTGAGATGGGGAGAGATGAGGAAGCAGATGGATGAATGGGAAAGAAAAATTGTTGTACTACATAATTCAATGTGAGAATTTGTACTTCTGCTTATGAAAGAGTAACAAGGACTGGATTTATTCTTTTGCAAACGTGAAAAACTGAGTAAAATACATGAAATAATGGTTCTCCAACATTGGACAACGGACAGCTTAAGGCAGTAATTGCACAGAAAAAGCAAACATATGAGCGCCGGGGATTTAGCTCAGTGGTTCAGCTGCCTGCCTCGAAAGTGCAAGGACCTGAGTTTAATCCCCGGTACCAAAAAAAAAAGCAAACAAATGAGAGGAGATCTGCCATCACCCAACTACTACCTAGAGAAAACTTCCAGGTCAGTGCAGAGATCCCAAACAGAGTCCGGTGGTTTCAGTTGAGAGACAAGAGCTCAGAAATAGCAAGGCCAATAAGCAGCTAGAATATGTTGGGCAGAGTTTAGGAAAGATGAGAGTTGGAGAGGGAAAGAGGGCAGAAGAAGGAGACTGAGACTGACTTTGAGGATCTGTGAGGAGTTTTCCCTTAAATCTTTAGTTACTTGTATAGAAATTACCAGTGGCCAGGAAAAGAACTACTAGCAGAATGATTCTCACAGACTCACAGATCTGGGAATACCTCATGCTGACAACCCGTAAAATGGAGATACTTCATCTTACCATTTTTTTTTGCCATTACCAGGGCTTGAACTCAGGACTTTGTGCATGCGAGGCAGGGGCAATGCCACTGAGCTAACTCCGCACCCCTACTTCATAATACATGGGACACTGAGTTGAATACTTAGAATAGTATTTTCTCAGTGGTGGGGAAAAATTAGAACTAAAAGTTGCTCAGGTCCAGCCCAGCAAAGTTTAAAAGTAAGCCTTAAAAAGAACAAATTGTTTTCCAATAGCTGAGCTGCATCAAAAATAAAGCGCAAAAATGTGTAATGGAATAATCACAATTTTAAAAATCTCGCACCAAGCAGTGACATAACAGCAAACATTAAAAACCGAACATAGTTCATAATGACTAGCAAACAATCAAAAATTACTAGGCATGTTAAATAGTATACTTAATCAATGTAAAAGGATCCAAGTATAACACATATGATAAAATGAATAAAGATATTAGAAGTTATTATATGCTCTATTAGTGAACTGTGAAAGATATTCCAGATTAATAGCAGATGTCTCATGAAAAACAATATAAATCAGAAAAGTTGACCAATTTATTCAAAGTATGGAAAGAAAAAAGTCAACCTAGAATTCTATAGCTAGGGAAATTATCTTCCAAAAATGAAGCAAAGTTAAGTTTTTTCAGAAATATATAATTCAATGCTGTTGGGTATCTACAATATAAGCATGGAATATTCTTGAAATTTTAAAACTTTTGGACTGGGGATTTAGCTCAGCAGCACAGCACCTCCCTGCCAAGTGTGAGGTCCTGAGTTTGATCCCTGGTACCAAAAAAGAAAAAATTTTTTGCACTTTTTTTCCACAAGTGTAACAAATATTAAATAAATATGGATGTGTTAGAATTAAGAACCACCAAGTTTATTATGTAAAGGTACAAATCTCCAATGATGTGTGTCATTATGTTGTATACCTAAAATGTACCAATAAAATTAATTTTAAAAAAAAAAGGATCACCAAGTTTGGAGCATTAAGCAGAAGACAGGTATACAGACAGTACTGCTACTTGCTTCAAAAGCTAGAGAGGCAACAAAGTTGAAGTTTACAAGATAAAAACAAGATAAGAAGGAAGGCCTTGAACAGTAGCACAAGAGTTTATATTATATAAAGATAATAAGGATACCTGGAATTTTAAAAAGATTGATGAGAAAAGTAGAAACTGAAGATTATGACCAAATGAAACACAAAATACAAAAGTGAAAATATCACATAGTCAAAACCAAACTTAGTGGGAAATTTCATTGGAAAATTCTGCTCATAGTTTCAAGTCTAGAGGGAGGCACCTATTTGCCTTGGGGACAGGATTTCCCCACTTAAAAGTCCCTGTGGTAGATCACAGGACAGAAGCCCAGAATAATTCTGCAGGTGAAAGGTATAAACATCTGGATGAGATCCATTTCTGCCTACTCTCCACATCTTATCTTTTCTCGCTCATACCAGCACTTTTATAATGTTTTGCTAAGTGAAAAAAAACTTCACAATTATCATTGGATGTTAAAGAAACACTTCAGGTAGGAAAACAGAAGTTCTGTAAGATAAAAGATGGTTAGCTGATCTTGATCAGATCTTCCAAGTATTTAAAGCACTGTATCCTTCACCTTTTTTGTCTTTTTACCTCTTGTCTACAGAGCAGAAATCTGGGAACAAGCTAAGTTCATAACGACAAGAAATTGCAAGTTGCTTTTTAGTATTTCTTAATGAAGTGGCCAAAAATTTCACTTAAAAATGCAGTCACAAAAGTTAGTAAAGTACTTAAAAAGGGATCTAGAATCAAGGGAGAAAATTTTTCTAACCAGAGGACAGGCAATACTTTACCTAAAATAACCAGAAGAGGGCAGAGGAAGACAAAATGATTAACGATTACATCTCCTTCACACAGCTGAACTTTTATGATTTTTGGCAAAGGCCTGTTTTAAAAAATACTTGGTAATCATTTTACCTTGTACGGCTCTGTCCTCCTCTCACTGTATGCAGTCCAATTCCGCCCATCATCACTATACTGAATTCTGTAAGCAGATACGTAATAATTGTGCTCTACCATGGTAGATCCAGTGGTGATAATGCCTGGAGAACAGTTTGTGTTAGTGCACAGGGTCTGAGTCCCAGAGTCATTCAGCATCAAAGGATGAGCACTTGAGTTGCACTGTACAAGTGTTTTTGCCTATTACTTCTATCACTAAATGCAAGTTTTCATCATAATAGGTATTAAATCTTTGGACTTGTTTCCTTGCAGAGACAGGGAGAATTACGGCTGTGCATTAAGAAAAGGACTATTCTATTTTTGCAGCTAATGTTCACATGAATATAAAATATATTTCAAATTCTGAGTTAAGAATGACTTTCTGGGAATGGGAAAATTAAGGGTGATGATTGATATTATTTTTGGTACCAAAGAAAAATAAATCTTTTTAACAAAATTATTTAAAACCAATCTTGGCCAATTATTCTGACCATTCACTGAGTTCTAAATCAAGTTTACAGCACATGTAGAACACTTGGTATTTATAGCACTTAAAATGGATTCTTCTTGGATATAAATTTCTCTTAATGACTGTAAGAGTTGATTATTGCAATGAAAAAATAAAGTTTTTAAGAACTAAGTAACAGCCAGGCATGTATGCTGGTGCCCACCTGTAATCCCAGAACTCTGGGAGGCTAAGGAAAGAGGATTGCAAGTTAGGACATCACCTGAGCAATTCAGAGATTTAGTGAGACACTGTCTCAAAATTAAAAAAAAAAAAATTTAAAGTCCTGGAGACACAGGTATAGCCTGGGTTCAATCCCCTGTACCACCATGTTTCACAAAACTATCCTGAGCCAGGAGTGGTGGCATATGCTTGCAATTCTAGCACTTGGGAGGCCAAGGCAGGAGGATCACTGTGAGTTCAAGGCCAGTCTGAACTACATAGCAAGACCCTGTTTCAAAAAATGAAATAAAATAAAATAAAATCCAAAAAATTGTCTTTAGTAGTAGCAGCATCAGTGAAGAAAAACTGAAACTATATAATTAAATTTTCAGTGACTTAATTTTCTATGAAAATCTTAGATGTTACCAGGTTTCCAAATAAAATCATATCTTTTAACCTGTTATTTTCTTTTCCTTATTCAGATCTATTTGTAACCACTGATTTTTATCAGTGGCCAATGAAGCCCAAGGAGGTCCAGGTTTTTTCAGTCTGGACTTTTCAGGTTTCCAACTGTTCTTCTGCCCTGTGTGGTCAGTCCACTCCAGTACTGATGATGCTGTTATTTGAGGGTCAGCAATCACACCAGATTCCATTCCCAATGTTCCATAACAACCTGAAAAAAAAAAATTTGGTTTCCAGATGTAAATTTAAAACCTATATAAACTTGGTTTCTGCAAACTTTCTATTACACAATTAGGCTAGTGCTTCTTGTATCCCTATCTTTGTGTATCCTTAAAAAACTTACAAATACATACCCTTCAATATCCATAGCAGATTGGGTCCAAGAGCCCACCTCCTGCCACCAAGCAGATAACAAAACCCACAGATGTTCAAGTCCCTTATATAAAATGCTGCATTATTAGCACATATCCAATATATATTCTTTCTGTGTACACTACCTCAGTTCATGCACTTAATTTGTTCTATGATTTTGGAAAAGATGGATGTTTGTGTTTGTATGGGAAACATGGCCACAGTTGTATTTGTCACCTCGCGTAGAGTTTGCAAACAAAAACAAAATTTTGCCAAATACTTTTCTTTGCAAACCATATTGATTGCAAATAAAAGCATTTATGAATAGAGGTACCACTTACTTTCAATCGTCTGTAGATTGCTTACAATGCCTAATACAATGTAAACAGTTGTTATACTGTATTATTTAAGGAGCAATGACAATAAAGTCTGCACATGTTCAGTAAAGATGAAATTTTTTTCCCTTAGTACTGTCAATGTGCACATGTGAAAGCATGGTTGCAGAGGGCTGACTGCATCTATGAGTAATAACTGTTAGTGTATGGAGGTGTATCACCAGCTCTCTGAGGCATCTACCAGATAAGTGGCCAACTTGCTCCTTTACCTCCTGGTTTTTTTTTTGTTTGGTTTTTCTGTGGTACTAGGGATTGAACTCAGGACCTTGCACTTGCGAGGCAGGCACAGCACCACTGAGCTAAATCCCCAGCCCATTGTTCTGGTTTTTGTTTACATGTAACACTCTCCATGAGGACTGTGTGTTTATTTTGCTTGGTGTTTTATCACTACCATAAGAACTCACAAATGAAAAGCTGCATTCAACAAATAATTTCTGCTACAAAAGTCATCCTCTCAGTGTCCATGGCCATACCACCCTGAACACTCCTGATCTCATCAAAGTCATCCTCTCTAAGGAAGCTTCCTGCTTACACAGTAGAAAAGATCCATTTTATTCATTGTGTAATTAGGTACCTGTTTTACTCAGTGTTGTTATGGCAAATAAGAAAGTGCAAAAAACCCAGCAGTGCCTGACCAACAGCTGGTGTTAGAAAAAATTAGCTATTATACAACTTACAATGTTAGAAATTCCATGAAAGGCTTACCACTTGTCTTAAATGTAAAAAGACTTGTAGATAAGTGTCCCCTGAAAAAGAAAAAGGTATTTTCTTATGATACTCACATAACACATGACTTCCTCATATTAGTGAAACTTACATGGCTAAAAATTAAGACAACTGATGTTCTTCAAAAGAGAAAGTCTCATTTCTAAGAGCAACCTTTGAAATCAGCATAAAACAACTTCTTCTATAAGAATTTAGTAGAACATGCAAGTATGTGTATATAACCTTTACTACATATTTTATTTCTTTTTCATAAAATAAATTAACTCCTAAAACTTTTCTATGAAATAGCAACTTTTGGTGAAAGAATAAAGGTATATTTTCAGAGAAAGAGGCTCATGTTTCTTATAGTAAAGAGAGGAAGAGCTACCAATAGACTGCATTCAGGGTGAGTTTCAGTATTAGAATGTAGCATCACTTCCAAATTTCAAAGGAAGGGCCAGAATGGGAGAACTGATGTGAATGAAAGAGCAAGACAAGTGAGAAGTTCACTAGATAGCAGGTCATAAGGCTCCAGGGGGCCTGGAAGAATAAAGTCCTCAATTACACTCTTGCATTTAACAAAATGTTAGAAGGGAATGTAATCTACCTGCATGTTTTTTAAGTATGAAAGAAAGAATTTACATACACAAAAAGTTCTTTCTAAAGGTAAAACAGGAGAAAGGATATATACAAAAACCTCAGAAGCCAAAAGAAAGGTAGCATAGTGAAACCATGTCTCGAAAAACCCAAAAACAAAACAAAAAAAGCCTGGCATAGTAGTATACACCTATAATCCCAGAACTTGGAAAGCTGAGGCAGAGGACTGCCAAGAGTTCAAGGTCAGCCCAGACTACAGAGTAAGTACAAAGACTGCTTGAACTATATAGTGAGACCCAGTCTCACAAAACAACAGCAACAACAACAAAAAAGAAAAACCAAAAAGAAAGGTAGCTGACTGGTGACTTTACAATGGGGATGGGGAGGGAAATGATAGCCTGTCCATGCATGGCTTCTTTGGTATGGCCAGTAGGCTAGGAATGGTTTTTACATAGTTAAAAAGCAGTGAATAAAGAATAAATAACAGATACATGTAGTCCATAAAGTTTAAACTATCTACTAGCTAGATCTTTACAAAGAAAGACTGCCAACTCCTGCTCTATCCTGACCTGGGTACAGACTATGCTCGTGTCTACTGAATGAATCTGGCTTAAGACCTCTGATGAAATGCTAGCTAGCTTCAGTTAGGCTTACTGTTGTCTACAGGACTGAATATACTAAGAGGCAAGATTTATAAATACACACTGCTGAGCACACTAAGAGGCAAGATTTATAAAAACACACTGCGTTTTTATATAATGTCAACTTCTGCTTCTGATGCCTATTCTATGTTCTATAAAACAGGAGAACTCTGTAAAATCCATGCAAATATATTCAGTATCCTCTTGGGATGGGAGAATCATAGCACTACTTAAGTGTCAAAATTTATTTTACACTCACAGAATTTCAATTGTCCTCAATCCATCCTGGTTTGCAAGGATTATAAGGTACACAACAGGCCTTCTGATCTTCACAATAAAGGAACAAATTTGGCAACAAACTTCTAGACTATTAGCCCAGATGTTTTTAAGACATAGAACACGAAGAAACAAATCACCCTTCCAAATGCTACTTTTTCGAAATAGAATAAACTAAAATAGTACAACACTGCCTATCCTTCTGAAAATACTTAAGACACTGAGAACACAAATGTTCTACTCCATAAATGTTACTTCACAAACATCTTCTAAGAGTGATCTTGGTGAGACTGAGCTAGTCTCCCATCCCCAGCAAGCATATTATAAATAGCATATATACTTACACCACAGATGTGACGTTGTTGGCCAAAGAACTTTCATAGTATGGGATGCCTTTACTAATTACAACACTGATTTGGCCACCCAACACATCCGACACTACTCCTGCATGTATACCAGCCACGCATAATGGTGAGGACTTGAGGAAGGGAAAAGAAAGTATTAGTTTGAATTTTCTTTTGCTATTCACAATGAAGACACTTCTACTTTCTGAGGAAATCAGTTGATCTGGGCAGTTCTCATAGAGTACTGATGCCATAACATTTTTTGCAGAAGAAAAAGAATAAAACACTGCCTATTACTAAAAAGAAATAATTCCTAAAAAATAAAAGGATAGAAACATATAACAAATACATATCTAAATATTCTTGAGTTTTTAAAAAGTTACATCACAACTTTAAAATAAGTCTATGTCCAACTTACATCTCTATATCCATGAGGAACTGTTCCAGATATCTCAGCAAAAGGAAGGAGACAACCAGGTGGGCAGTACTTACTGAAAAATGTAAACAAGTAAAAGTTTATGTAATGCTGTACTTTCTGGAGAAAAGTAAAAAACATCACAAATATTATTTTTCAATTCAATGTAACTAACTCGCATAATGTCACCACTCTGAATCACTTCAAAAAAGCCTCCTGAGCATTTTTTCCATCCACACATATTCAGCATCTTAAGCTATATATTTACAAAAAATGTTCTCACATTCTACATATTGCTTTATCTTACTTTGTAATGAATGGCAGACATATTTCTATTATAAGATCTATTCATCATAGTCCTCAGACTTATAGGAATGTCTATTATGCAGTCTGTTGAATGTCTGAGTACTGGGTACTGAGTTTAAAAAGGTTAACCAAACAAATATGGCCCTTGACATTGGTAAGTTTACATTCTGGTGGTAGAAAAAACATTCAGCCAATATACAATTATTTAGATTTTGATTCTGTCATAAAGAAGTCACTCTGAAATAATCAGGATAATTCTAATTAAATAAAAGTAATATAAATATTTAGTGAACTCACTATGTGTTGGACAGTATCTTAAGTGTTTCAGGTAATTCACAATTCACACAAGAATCCTTTGTGGATTCTTGTGTATTATTGTATGGATCCTGTGTATTATTATCCTAACTTTACAGATAATGAACAATGATGTACCCATGTATGTCATGGAGCCAGTAGGTAGCAGATGGCTTCTAGAGTCTGCTCTCTTACACAGGGTTCTGCATAGCCTCAGTGAGGGAACAGAGGTCTGATAAGTGAGGCTTCAGCAGTGAGGTGCCAGATATCACTGGATCAAGTGGTGGAAATGCACACCAATCACTACAAAGTGTGTGATCCTGAGGCAAGACAACTGGCAGCTGTCTGTAAGTGTGAATGGCCACTCCAGGCAAAGTACACTGAGCAAAAGGAAGGTCAAAGATGGTAAGGGACTAGATCATACAGAAGCCTTGTGGGAAAGGGGTATGGGATTATTTCTAAGTAAGTAAAGGATCTTGACAGTCTACATATGTACAGGATTGCAATGATTTGTGTGTGTACTCATGTTTCTCTTCAACTCTATATGATTATCTGGCTCCTTGGGGGATAAAAATGTATAAGGAATCATGAGCAGAGGGTGGAAGGTCGTACAGTAGCCCAGCAGAGGGTTGCCAGCAGTTTGGGTGTGAGTGATGGTGATGGAGCTGAAAAGTAGAGGGAACCAGGGTTCATTACTCTTGCTAAACAGACTCCCTTGATGCAAAACAGGGCACTCTTCCCAGAAGAGAGGACCGACCATTCTTGAAGACAGAATAAGGTTCTTTGGGAATAGGAGCAAGTTGAAAGGAGGCTAATGAAATGGGTTTTGAAAGATGAGAATGACTTTGCCAAGCAGACCAGAGTAAAGTGGTTCCAAAGCAAGAGTTCTGACAGCTCACAGCAGTGTAAATCACTGTGGATGTATATGAGATTGGAAAAATGGCCCAGGGCCTATTCATGAAAGACTGATGAAGAAGCTATGGAATCTGAAGTTTTTATCACAATAAAGAGTTTCTCAACATTTTTAAGGAGGTAAATAATCAGTATGCATTTTTACAAACTACTTGGTAGTAGCATGAACAAAAAAAAGCTAGCAAAGATTAGAAATGGGAGATCAGTTAAACAGTTATCCTAGTCTAGGCAAAAGACAAAGGTAGAAAGCAGAGAAATAGCAGTAGAAATGCTACTTGGATAAGAACACCGAAGAATTCAGTTATAGCCTCCACCATGCCCTCCCCTTTCTTAAAAAAAAAAGACAGAAACAAATTTCTATTTTTAGCAATAGTTTTGTCAGATTTTACAAAGCAACTAGTTCTACTTTTAAAGTGTATAAAAATTATACTTGCATTTTGGAGAAGATCTAAATGTTAGAATTAAAGCAGAATTTGATTATGTGTCACACACTATATATTAATCTTCAGTATAACACAAGAAGTGGATTGAAACATTTAAGTGCACACACATGTCATAAATATGGCCATACCTGAATTCAGGTTCCAAAAAGTTGGATACAGTATCTAAACAAGTAATTAGATCTAGAAAAACAAAAATAAAAAAGCAAATTTAGTAATTCACACTTAGTGCTCTTGTTAAAAGACCAAGTACTACAGAAATCTCAAATTGTATTGATCTAAATTACAAATCTCAAAAAAAAAAAGACAATTACAAAATCTCAACAGCACTGAAAATGTTACAAATTTTTGTTCATCATAATTTCTCTCTCATTTGATATGTCTTAATTTCTGGAGCTAAGTCCCAGATACTGCTTTCAGTATTTCAGTTTCTCAATGCTGCTTTCTACTACATTCCCTCCTAGAAAAGAGCACACACATATAAGTAAAATCTGTATACTCTGAAATATGAATAAAAATTATATACATATAAATAAAATCTATATATATTCTATAGTCTATGTAATATATTCCCAAAGAAAAAAATATTTCATGGTTATTATGACTAAAAATGATTCTTTGTTGTTTATACACAAAGGTTCAATGACAAAAAAGTCAGTTTTGCAGCTCTGACTTCTAATCAAAATCTCAACACTTCATAACTTAGAAGATGCTGAATTCATCTAGACTTACAGAATCTCTGGACGGGCCCCCAAAATCTGTTTTATAAAATCTTCTAGATTATTCTTAAATATGCTTTAATTGGTGAAGTACTGCTCTAAAGAAAAAAAAACTTAAAATTTAATGCTTTCCATCCAGAAATCAGTACTTCCTTTATTTATTTATTTATTTTTGGTACCAGGGGTCGAACTTGCGACCTTGCACAGTAGAATCACTGAGCTAAATCCCTGGTGCTAGAAATCAGTACTTCTGAATAAAAGGTAGCCGGCCTCTAATGGAGACCTAATTCATCTGTATAAAACAGAATTTTGAATTTAAAAATTCCAATGGCTTCTTAGGAAAGAAAACAAAGTCCTCAATGCAGCCTACAGGATCTTGAAGTATCTGGCCCTGCCTTATTCTCAACTCTCGTTTTGTACCCACCTTGGTCTTTTGCCACCCTAGCCTTCCTCTGGATGCCCTGGCACAAGATGCTCTTTTACCCATAACCAAGGTGACTGTAATACTGCAACTTAAACAAATGTCTCTTCCTCACAGATACGGCCTTAACCTTCACAAGTCAAACCCCTTTAGCTCATAGTAGGCACTTATGTTTTGTTTGCTTTAATGAAAAGATGACTACTCTATGTTCTTAGAGTACCATGTGTTAAAACTTGATGGAATTAGTTATTAGCAATATCTTTTTTATAATGCCTAGTTCCTGGACAAAAGCTAAAGTTGTATCTTCACCTTTGTACTGTGAGCAGCAATTAAGAGTGTAGCACACACAGGAAGGTAAATCAGAGAAAGAATAGAAGTTTCTGATTGTTAGCAGGTTTGGCAAAGTTGAATCACTTACTAACACTTAGGGAGGAAAACTTGGAAGAAGACCTGAAGGCAATCACAAAATAGGTGATTTCACATATATACACTTGGCTGAAGAACCATGCCAAAGGAGCCAATACACTGATGAAGCAGATGGCAGCTGGCATTCTTACCACACTGCCAATATATAAATATTGTTATATTAACGGCCTCCCATCTATCTTATAATTTGAAGGAAATTAATTTATTATTCAGCTGAAATACTTTTAAAAAGTAAAGCATAATAACAGTGCTATACTAATACGATACTATTAGTATATACTATTTGAGAGCAATTATATGCATCAGTGTGTATACACCACAGACATTTGCATAAACAAGATAAATTTGTATTTTAGGAGTTTAAGAGGATACAAGCTTGAATAAGAGTTCACTATTACCTTAGCTGACTGGAAAAGTGACACATAAACAGAATTAGCCGCACTCTAGTTATTCCTGTCAATCTTTGCACAGTATCAATGAGAACCAATTTTCTACTTTCCTGCTGTATCAAAAGAATTTCCAACATCTGTGATTAGAACTTCAGCTTCGAAGATTAATATCCTGAAATGAAAAGTACCTGTGTGGTCCAGTATGGCATTTAAGTCACAAGATGACTACCAGCTGAAACCATTACCTTCAAGCCACATGCCAGAAAGTTGGTCAACAATGGATATATTTGATCAGAACAGCACTTTGTTAGTCATGCAGCGCTTAAAGTGCACAGTATGCCATACAAATGTGAAACTAATCAACCTTGCTCTCAAATTCCACTGGGCTTAAAAGATGAACTTAGGATGCAAACCGAGGGCAAGGAATTTAGCTCAGTAGCACCATGCCTGCCTTGCAAGCACAAGGTCCTGAGTTTGATCCCCGGTACTGGAAAAAAAAAAAGATGCAAATAAGAATTCAAATTCAATAGTTCAAGGAAAGCCAAGAAGACTGAAGGCAAGGAAAGGAAGCCAGCAGAACATACTTTGACATTTACAATTCCTCAAAAACAAAACTAACACATTAAGCAGGTAATAAGATGTTATTTGTCTTTTTTGAAAAACTTTTTCCAAGTAAACAGCCTAGTCTTCCAGAAAACTTGTTAAGACTCCAAGATAATAGGCACATCTAGAGAAAATGAGTACAGCTCAAAAGAAACCATCTACTTCAGAGACTTCAGATAGCAATGAATCAGACATTATCATAATCAATGGAATGGAATTAAACATTCTGGAGTCTAGAAATAAACCCTCAAATGCACAGTCAACTAAATTCTGATAAAGGTGCCCAGACATTCCAACTGGGTAGGTAGTTGGAGGTGTGTGTGAGGCACAGTCTTTTTAACAAACGATGTGGGGACAACTTTATATCCACACACAAAAGAATGAAATGGGTCACCAATTACGTATCATATACAAAAATTAACTCAAAGTGAATCTAAATTTAAGAACTAAAACTAAAGAGTTTTAGAAGAATCATTTTAAAAATGATTTTGAATTCTTATTTGCATCCTAAGGTGATCTTTCAAGCTCAGTGAAATTTGAGAGCAAGGTCAAATAACTAAATCTTGACCTTGTATTAAGCAGTGGTTTTATATATATGATGAAAAAAGCACAAGCAACTAAATAAAAATAATTACATGTTCATCAAAATTAGGAATTTTTGTGCCTCGAAGGCACCATAAGAAAAAGAAAACCCATGGAATGGGTAAAAGTATTTGCAAATCATGTTATCTGGTAAGGGTCTAGAATACAGAGTATTTAAAATATGACCTCAAAAAGACAAATGTGTATACATACAATAAAATATTATTTGGTCATGAAAAGGAATGAAGTACTGGTAAATGTTGTAACTTGGATGAATCTTGAAAACATGCACAGTGAAAGAAGCCAATCATGAAAGACCACGTAATATATGAACCGATACAAAAGGTTCAAAGGAAGCATACTGCCGAGGCAAAATGTAGATCAGTGGCTACTTAGGACTGGAGAGAATTAGGAAAGGAGAAATAGCTGGAGAGAATTAGGGAAAGAAAAATAGAAGTGACTGCTACTAATTATGCAGTTTCCTTTGAGGTGTGAAAGTATGCTAAAATTCACTGCGCTAATGATTGCAAAGCTCTGAATATACTGAAATATCAGTGAATTGTATACTTTGAGTATGAGAATTATATGATGATTTATTTGTTAATACAAATGCTATTAAATTTTTTACAATAAAAAGAAGCCATCATTACCTTTAATATCTACATAGATGGGGTTTTTTTTTAAAAGCCCAGTAAAAGACTTGGCAGTTCATTCAACAAATAGGTAATAAATATGTATTATGATGTGAGGTATTATTCCAGGGACTACAGATAAAACAAAGAAGAGACAAAAATCCATGAACACAGGAAGAATACTTCCAGTAGAGATAAGCGAAAAAAGACAATATTAATAAAGTAAAATATGAAGTGTTGGAAGGTGACAAGTACTTCAAAAAAAAAGGAGAGTGGTTAGAAAAGTTAAGAACTTGCAACCTTAAGTAAGGTTGTCAGGTTACACCTCCCAGAAAGTAACACCTGAATAAAACTCTAAAATGCATGATGGTGTGAGGGATGAGATAAGTAGATCTGAAAATAGGCAGTGAAAATCACAAAGGCCTGGGTGGAAGCATGCCAGGGACGTTGCCAACATGAGAAAGGAACACAAATAAGTGAAGAAGTCAAACAAGAAATTGGAAGCCAAGCCTAATCCTATGGGTCTTGGAGGTAAAGACATTTGGCAAAGCAAGATGGGGTTTCTAAAAAGATCATAGTAACTACTGTGTTGAAAGTAAACTTGAGAGAAAAGATCAGAAACAAAGATCAATAACGAATTTACTGTTGCAATTGGGTTAAACATTGATGGTAACGTGAACTAGAAAAGTGACAGTGGAACTTGTAAGATGTCGTTTTATCCTGACATAAGTATATATACATTCTGAGAAGTGGCAGATGCCTATGATTTGAGCCAAGAGAAGAGTCAAAGATAATGGTCAGGTTTTGGGAGCAACTTACAAGATGAATGTGTAAGTGCTTATATTATAATAAACACTGATAAAAAAATACTGATAAAGCAAACAATTACCATACTGAATCCACTTAAACATATCCTATAATCCCAGAACTTGGTGGTATGTTCAAAATGCAAGGCAGTATATAATTTACAATATTCTTAACTTAGAAAGAGCCTCTGTATAGGATTCTTTTTTCTCCCTTTAGTAATTTTAGTCAAATACTTAACACATTCAAGACTACAGAATATATATTATTACGTTAAATACTAATGGTACACTTCACATCAATGCACTAGACTACAGAAAATGGCAAGAGCACAAACCAGGATGCTCTCAAGGAAGCAGACTGGCACTCTCTTCCGTGTGCAGCCCAAAGAAGAAATAGCACCTACTGTGTCTATTCTACATGCCTTAACAGTAGAGTCTAACACAAGGGGAATGTAATCCTAATTCCCATAAAAAAAGCTTCTGACCTTACTCATTATCTGCTTCCTTACCCCTAGAAATTGAGGCAAGCTCACGAATGGATCTGAAGGTAGTATGAAGTGATTGTGACGAACAGCATGAAAGAATTACAAGTATAAAGGTAAGAC